TCGTGATGCCAGAAAGTTCCTGGCACTCTCTTATGTTTAGGGGTTAAACCGTTCACAAACAATTAAATCCCAAAGTCCACTCTGCATTGCCATTTCTCTCTGTCCCGCCCACATCCACTTTCAGAAATTCTTCTAAAGGAAGTCTCAGCAGGAGCACTGCTAGTTGGCTTAGACCGGTCAGCTGTGCATCTAAGCCAATCAGGAGTTCCTCATTCATTATAATTATTTATATAGCGCCAGCAAATTCCGTAGCGATGTACAATGCATGGACTAACAGACGCGTAATTGTAACCAGACAAATGGACGCACAGGAACAAAAGGGTTGAGTGCCCTCCTCAATTCATAAAAATGGTTTGAAAAAGACTTCCTTTACAGACTTCCTTTAGAAGATTTTATGAAAGTGTATGTGGACAGGAACATAGAGAAATGGCGTTGGGGAGCAGATTATGGGGTTAAAGTATTCAGCAACAGTTTAACCCCTAAAGGTAAGGAAGTCCCAGGAACCTCCTGGCACCATAACAACTTCATTTTTATGAAGTTTTTATGGTACCCTTCATCTTCCTTTATGTTGTTGTGTGACAGGAGTCCCTGGATGCTGTTTTATCTCACAGTGGTTAAACCATCTCTAAACAGATTACCCCAAAGTTATTCCATTCCCCTGGCGCCCATCAGTGCTGCCAACTGAGTCCTTATCTAGCCAGTGCAGTGATTAGGAAGGTTTTGCCATGTGTGCCTATGCGGAGGAGACAGGGGGCAATGCTCAAGGATACATTTTGGGAAATTTCAGGGTTAAACCATTCTAAAATTCTTTAACCCCGTAAAGTAAGATGGCATTCAGTGACTCAAGCTCCCATAGCAAATCCATTTAGATGAAGCTGTCATTGGCTTGGAGACAACTCAGAGTATTCCTTTAAGAGTAAACAAAAAAGGTTGTAAACCATAAGGGCTTGGTAAACAGACTTGGTAAATAGTAGCTAAGCGCCATTTACGTTGCATAGCATCTGTAAATTTTATTTATTTTGGGCCTGAAATCAGAATTTTTCCATTTTGGCAGTAAGAAAAAAAGTAATTATAAAAAAAATAATTATTTTGACACTTTGCCAAATATTAATAAGATGATTATTAATCCATTTGCGTGAAGCTGGTCTACCCTACTATATCAAGCTTGAAATGTGTCAGATGGCAGAATGCCTCCTGATGAACATGGGCCAGGCAAAAAGAAAAAATATATAATAATATAAATACATACTATAATAATAATACAGATTGTCATAAAAAATGTTTAAACACAGATATTTACACCTTCTAAGCAGCATGTGCTTCTCGGTAGGAAATAGTTATAAAATTGAAAAATCTTGCACGTTGGTATTTTAGGATATATTAAATGCTTGCTTGTGGTTTTCCTGCAGATTAGGATGTTGGAAGCATCTACAGTAACTTCACATTTACAGTCATATGTAGAGAACAGGCCATTAACCCCTAAATAGGTTCTTTAATGTAATCAATGTCCTACCTTCCTACTTTCATTCTTTGTGAGATCTACATCCTTTCATTGGAGGCAAATTAACATAAATGTCTTTGGTTTTGCATATATGATGTATGTGTGTGTGTGTGTGTGTGTGTATATATATATATACTCCATTTTTGAAGAGTTTAACCCTGATGTTGTTCCCCTGGTACCCGTCAGCAGTGTTGATGGGTCCTGGGGGAACATATATAAAGGGGTTTATTAACAAGAATGAAACAATAGCTTAGAAATATCTGATATTGATAGTCATTCCTTCTCTTTCACTTTGGCCTACAATTGTGCATCACCTGCATATGTCAAGATGGATTTTGGAAAGTCCCCTTGGGAACAGAAATTTGCGAAATCTTGTTTTTGCAACTATCACAGAATCCTCAGCTTGACATGCATTCGGTGCTACTTTAAACACAGGTCTGTTTTTTAAAACTGTGGCGGGGTTTGTGATCCAGAAGGACCAGTGACCAGAAACCAGCCATGAACTATACATTTTCCACCTTCAGAATCGCATCAGCATGGCGCTGGTCCTGGTCTGGAAGTTGATATCTCCTGCTCTGAAGGCTTCATTGGTTTCTTCTTCATATTTCGAAATGCAGACACCTGTGCCACAACACTTCAAATTCAAATAATACTTTGGAAGAAAGACAAAGTTATTCTCATGTGACTATGCACAGATTGTAATTGGATCTTCTAACAAAAAAACTGGATTCAAGATCCATTGGTTTCAAGAGACACCTGACAAGTGCGGCAAGTGCCACCCTAGTTACGTCTGATCTAAACAATACTGAGTAAAAAAACACCCTAATAAGAATATATAAAGTGATAACAGATTATACTTATCAATTGTTAAATGTCAGCCTCCCTCGGATCACCCCCAGTCAGCAATCCCACATCACCAAAGAAATATATACAGAAAAAATAGGGAACCGGCTGATATCTTAGCCGGTTCCCTAAGATATCATCCTAAGAGATTAACCGGTACCCTCTTTTTTTCTGTATATATTTCTTTGATCTAAACAATAGCATCTTTGATGTAAAAGGACCATCAGAGGATATGGTTTTTTTTTGTCCATTGATAAAGCTTCATCCTGCATCAGTAGTGAACAGGACCAACACAATGAAGTAGTCCTCACAACAATAGTCCAGCACCATCGTTTGTGTACTAAAAGTACTAGGGGCATTTTGAGATAGCAGTGAGGGCACAACAAATAAAAAATAGTGGATTTGATATAACTGCGGTGAAGAAAACAACGATGATAGAAGGCGGAATAGAAGGAACTGAGTATAGAAATGTTGGGCTAGAGTGAAGAGGTTATTAACTGGGAATATGCAAGGAAATATCCAGTAGAGGCAGAGGAATTCGAGATCGCACCAGATACACAATTCTTGTGTTACTTGGCCCACTATTTCTGTAGAAGCCTGGATTATTCCTTCTACTCCTTGGATGTCAAAAGGTCCATTTTTCCATAAGAATCAGGTGGAGCTTTTATCATTGGACATCCTCATTAAGTCCTGGAAAAAAGATTGCGACTGGGAAATTTAATTTCATACTGTAAAACCAATTATGTCTATTTTTTTTTTTTATTGAAGTATTTTCAGAAAAAGGTTACAGATAGGAATGTTTAAGGAGGACTCGCAAGTCCCCGACACTCCAGCAGGTTTTACAATAAATAAGTAAACATCAGTGTTGCATAAGTAGTATATTAATATTAATGCCCATTGCTTAACAATCATCATGAAATAACGGTAATGGGAAAACTTTAAACCATTTATTGTATGCCATACCAAATTTGGAGTGAGGCGATCTGATGTCGGATGTGTAGCTCAGATCCCAGCTACGTGTGTATTATAGACCAGGAAGAGTTGTGGCAAAGCTGATGCACATGTGGGGCCAAACATTGTAAGATCAAGCTATTTAAAGAAACACTATAGTCACCTAAATTACTTTAGCTAAATAAAGCAGTTTTAGTGTATAGATCATTCCCCTGCAATTTCACTGCTCAATTCACTGTCATTTAGTAGTTAAAGCACTTTGTTTCTGTTTATGCAGCCCTAGCCACACCTCCCCTGGCTATGATTGACAGAGCCTGCATTGGAAAAAAACTGGTTTCACTTTCAAACAAATGTAATTTACCTTAAATAATTGTATCTCAATCTCTAAATTGAACTTTAATCACATACAGGAGGCTCTTGGAGGGTCTAGCAAGCCATTAACATAGCAGGGGATAAGAAAATCTTAATTAAACAGAACTTGCAATAAAGAGAGCCTAAATAGGGCTCTCTTTACAGGAAGTGTTTATGGAAGGCTGTGCAAGTCACATGCAGGGAGGTGTGACTAGGGTTCATAAACAAAGGGATTTAACTCCTAAATGGCAGAGGATTGAACAGTGAGGCTGCAGGGGCATGTTCTATACACCAAAACTGCTTCATTAAGCTAAAGTTGTTCAGGTGACTATAGTGTCCCTTTAAGTGTCCATTCAAGACACAAGTATTTGTGTAAAGAGCCTGAAAGCTGGACACCTACCTGGACTCCCATCTCATAGTCAGTGGGAAAGGTGCAATTGTATCCAGGGATGCATACTTTTTTACCACCAGTTTGTGTGTTTAGTTTTTTTTGTTTTTTTTATGAATTTGTATTTTGTTCCAATTTCATATACATTGTACAAGAAGCCATATTGCTGTAATGCACTATGATAAAAAGACTAGGTCAGACAAGTGTAGATGCAGTAGCGCTAAAAGAACAAAAACTGGGACAAGGGTTTTTGAAATAAAAATAAAACAATGTTATAAAAAACAGCAGAAAAAAACGGGAGCGCATGTAGTGCCTTGATTTTTTTTTTTTTTTATTCTTTATTTTTGTTGTGCATAGGCTTTTAACAGTCGGTTGTGAGGTACCCCAACGGCATTCCTCCAACGCTTTGTAGACAGTTTAACAGAGGGGTACATGCAATATCTGGCACAAATTTTATGTTTAAAGGTAGTTGAGTAATAACATGGTAGGAAACAAGCTTAGTTAACATTATACTGTGTATCGCTATTGTATTCAGTCATCTGAGTGCATATCTACTAAGTGTATGAATAAAGTTAAGCTAAATGCTATGCTGGGATGCACTCTGCGTCAACATGCTAGTTCTAAGCAATCTTCTATAAGAGTGATTTGAGTAAAAAACAATAAAGGGTCTCATGGCAGAGTTTTGCTCGTAACAGTGAGTAGATTCGTTGTGCTATCTAGCCAAAAGAGTATTATGCTGCATAATAGCTAACTAGGCATTAGGGTAGGGCCCACTAACTTGCATTCATATGTTGATGGTAATAGGGAAGCTTAATCTGCGTGGTGTGTGCCGTGGCTGTTATTGTATCGTCAGGTAGCTATTATGCTGGTCAGGAGTGTTCCGGGCTAAGTTATAAAATAAAAAGGGGGTCAGTTGTTATCCCATCAGGCCTGCGCCTCCCTGGCAGCATTAGAAATCTATGTAGGCCGCTATGAGGCATCACATAACTAATAATTTATGTAAAAATAATGGTGAATGCAATCATATAGATTAACAATTAGTAAGACAGCTTATGCGAAACCAAAAGAAAGGGGGGGAAACTTAGGCATCAACCATGGGACATATAATATGTAATCCACAATTTTTAAATAAACGGGTAGCTATGGCATTCTCTGCTTGTAAAAGGGTACCTAGGCAACATAAAAAGTTTCAAGACCACCAGAGTGTCTGCGCCTCGGCCCCTGTCTTGAGCGGTCATCTCCCAGTCTTGTAATTTGCAGGTTAGCCGGGAGCTGTATTGGTCAGTGTCCCGATCACAGTCAGCCGACTCCCACATCTGGGAAACGGAAACCCCGGTAGTGAGGGTATATGGAGGCTTGCCAGGTGCACCGATGGTGAGGGTAGGACTGGTGCCCCATCAAAGCTCCGTCTGCGGTGATCCTTGTCGGGGTTCTCTGCCTGTTACGCTTTCTGGTAGCCCGCTTTGCTGTATGTTGGTCATCCTCACGGCAGGCATCCTGAGTTCTCCTGTGTTGGGTTGCGCTCTGCTGGTCGGAGGTTGTCGGGGCCATTGTGTGCGGAGCAGGTTGTGCATGTTGGTGGGTCCCGCTCTGGTTTGCTGGAGCGCGGGTGCTGGCGCCCGAGGTTTCCCGCCCTTGCGGTTGCCATTGCTTGCTTGGTCGGATGGCTGCCCCGAAGGCCCGCAGTGGGAGTCCATAATGGCGGCGGCGGGTCACCGGGCGGATCCACGAGGCCACAATTTGAGCTGCTAGAGGGTAGGACACTCCCCTGTCGCATGAGATCATGTGAAAGCTCGAGCAGAGATGGTCTAGAGCTTCCAAGGGGTGAGCATATGTATGGTTGCCAGTGTTCCCTCTCTTTGGTCCCTGCTGGGCGGCCATCTTGGATGTGCCCCTGCAGGCTGGTGCCCCTGCTGGCTGTGTAGCCATGGTCACTCGCTTTCTGTGTTTGTTCGCTTGGTTAGTGGGGACTGGGATAACCCCCGCCAGTCCGGGGGGGGGGGAGATCAGGAACGCTGCTGGGGGGATCCGGTGCCGAAGAGAACGGCCACTCCCCGGCTCCCACTCCTGTAGGCCGCAGGTTGCGTTTCGGGTTCTGGGCTCCGACAGGCTCCAAAAAGGTATCTGTCGATTCTGTGGTGCACCCCCAGTGTGGGTAGCGCACCCCAGTGTGTCTTTGGGCTGAGTAGCCGTCGATATTGCAGTTTATTCTGCCCGCCCGGCAGGAGCTCTTTTCCCGCACGTCTGTTCAGCCTAGCGGTCAGACTCCGCCCCCCAGTGCCTTGATTTTAAATAATGGGAAATACTCGATCAGCTGTGGTTATGTGGCTATGGAACTCTGGGAGGAAGCTGTGCAGAGCTGGAATAAGAATGAGTGCTTTTTTAAAAGACATGTAACACCCCTTTCTTGCTGGATATGTAGCGGGCGGTGCAAGCACAAATGCAGGTTACGTTTTGCCACTTGCATAGGAGTAAAGAGTGGAGGTGTTGTAGTACGTACCCTAGAAGGAGGAAATAATTGTTACACTATACATACACTACAAACACACGTACACACACATTCACGGGATGGCCCAAAAGTAGGTATACAGTGTAGTTTATTTGCATTTTATTACAGTGTATTTGCATTTTATTACATGTACATTTGTTTAACACTTTATAAGCTCGTAAGTGCTCGAAATGTCTTCCATCAACGTTTTAACATTCCTCTCCGACATTCCAACCACCACACTGATATTGAAATGTCTGAAATCTAACTGTCACTTTGTATGTGTATCCATAAAATCTGTCGTGATGAATTTCATTGATTTAACTGTATATCTACTTTTGGGCCACCATGTGTATATACATGCTTTTACGCACAGCACATATTTAGGTTTTCAAACAATGCACATCTGTAAGTGGAAAGGATTTCTTGTATAATACGATGGTAAGAGAGAGCTAGGAATGCTACTAAGAAAGGTACACAGCAGACAGAAGAATTGGTGACCACTTCACAGTTAAACAAGGTGATGTAGCGATAGGTACACTAAGATGGGACAGAGGGGAAATCTCAAGAACATAAATGACATCCAGAGGAAATCGGGTGGTTAAGTTTATTCTTGACAATAATAACGCTCTCGTGTAATGATCCTGTTGAACATGACATGGACAAGACAAACATAATTATAGCAAGCTTTCATTTTTAATAACATTTATTTATAGAAAAAACGTTATAGGCAATGATGAGTAAATAGTTTTCTAGAAGGAATCATCAGTTAACACTGAGTTGAGCTTCCTTGGTTTTCGTGCCGAGCCGCTTTCTCTCATAATTGAACCGAATATAAGAATCCAAGGATTGGAATAATTCCACCATTTTTGTAATAATGAAGTGAGTAGCAGGATTCTAGAAAACAACAGGGTTGGGAGTCAGATAGGAGTGTTGTACTGTAGAAATCATGCTGTACCAGTGGTATTAGAAAGCAGATCTGAAATCCAGAAACTAGACTTAACTTTAATGGGGTATTGGGTCGGGATCACCATTAAGTGGTGTAGGATCTTGATAGGAAACCAGAGATCCATGTAATCAGCAGCTGGATCAGAAGGCAGAGATGAGTTTTATTCATGAAGAGAAATGAAGTTGGATGTTGCAGATCACAACCAAAAAGACAAGCAATCCTAGTCAGGAACCAGGAGAAGGAATAGTCGGAAAACATAAGCCGACTTTTCAGTAATCAGAAAATCAAACTGACACAAAAACAAAAAAAGTGAAGTGAAAAATTAAATACAATTGGATAAAAAAAAAAATAACGAAAAAGTAAATAAAAATATTGTGCAGTTTACACAAAGGTAAAATATTAATAACCACATGAAATATGTAATACTTAAAGAGGTATATAAGTTGTGTTTTAAACCTTTTTTAATAAGATACTCCATTTTCTTTTAAATTTACAAAAAAATTGCTTTTTCTCTCTTTTTCTCCAGCTCTCAGTCAGACACTAAACGTCGAGGCATTCACTGAATAGGGAGAGCAGAAAAGACCTCTTCTACTCTCCTTTGCTGTAGCCCCATCCTGTCGAAACCACATTTTAGGACGACATTTCAGGATTTTCTCATTGTTTGCGTCAAAAAAATGCACTTGCCAATTTGGAACAAAAAATATCCACTATTTTTACTTGATGTATCTTTGTGAAATTATCCATGATAAATCTCCCAAGACTCAGTTATACTATGTATTTGCAACAAAAAAAATGGAACTACTAACAAATGTTATTTACCTGTCAAATCCTATTCTGAATTTTGTCCCACCCGTATAATCAATCATTCTTCCACCACACACCTACGTTGTTTACTGTGAAACAGAAATATATGTATCATAATGTGGGTGGATGACAATTTTAAGTGGATTTTCTTTCAATGTATACAGTTATTTTTTTTCCTTTGAAAAACTTGCGGCTAAAAACAACGAACATGCTCACTTTCAGAAGAAAGATTTTAGCTTCCGCAAATAAAATGCCAATCTTAACTAAAGCACAGCTGCTGTATCTATAATGACATTTCGCTTATTGTTTGAAAGCTCTATTTCTGTAAATGTTGCGATCCTACCATTGAATGACAGATTTATTTCTGAGACAAGAAAACATATGGAGAATCTTTGGAAACAGGGATCTAAATAAAACCATAATTTATACATTGCATTTGGGCTGAAAATGGCATTGCTACATTTGTTTTACATCAAAGTAGACTCCGTGGCTATGGATAAAGAGGGTAGAGGGTAACATTTTTGAAATTTTTATTTAAAGGGACAATCTAGGCACTATAACGACTTCATTTCATTGGATATAGTTCATGGAGTCACCCGTCTGTTCAGTTTTAAAGCACTTTCATTGTAAAACAGAGGGAAATAGATACAGCGGTAGCAATGGGGCAGGAGACACTGATACTAGGGAAATTTTCAATAACAAAACAGGCAAACCGAGGAATACACAAAATGAAAACCGGTTGCGCCTACTGGTAGCAAGGAAAAACACAAGCCTGGAAATTCAATAAAAAATTTTTTTTGAGAAAATATATATATTGCCTTAGTTCTTTGTAGATTGGATAGTTCAACACTTCAGCAGATAAAATATGGAAAGACAGTAAACACAGAAAAAAACAACCTTTTTTCCACAATCAGAGATATGGAGGGCAGATAAATCGTCCGCCTCCCTCACGCCGGTGTTGCCAAGTAGGCCACAGATGGGCCACCCTAGCAGGAAGCCAGCAAAAGGAAGCAGAGCTGTCACCAACAAACATAGATTGTGTGCCCACATGATTGCATTATATCAGCAGGAGCATCAGAATTAATGGAGGTGGTCGGAATGTTGTCAAAAAGGCTCAACATGGCAGTCTAACCCAAACCCAATCCCCCATGATTTGATTTTTTTTTTTATTAAATCCCTTGATAAAATTTGCATTTAAGAGAATTTGTCCCAATATTCATGTCATTGTGATCCAAAGTGAAAAGGACATAAATTACCCAATTGAACCTATACAAACCAACATTCTCGAATATGTCTACAATTTTTTACAAGAAGTGAACACAAACCTAAAGTCATATTCTTCACTCTCCGGATCCTGTAATTTACACTTTTTTTTTTTTTCACCAATGCCTAGTTATAAAGGAACTGACAATTTTAACTTTCAAATACATTATGAAAATTGAAAGTATTGAGAAGATGACCAAAAAAGAATAATACTGCAACCCTTATTACTGCTTGAGGCAATAGGCTCAACAAGTTTCAGTATTGTGCTGCCACTAGCCATATCTAATGAGGGGTGAAATAGACAAATCAAGTATCACCCTGTTGACTATACAGCCCATTTGTCAAGAAGATGCACAATTTATCTTAAATTTCACAAGCGGTACGGCCTTAGAAAACTTATGTATCTTAAATGTTGGGGAGATAATGAAATGGGTGAACATTAACTTTAATATGTGGCATATAATTATGGGGTCCGATCCTGCTGTACTCCATGCATGGTTCTGCAGCCTGCGGGCCAGCCGGGAGGCTCTCTTCCCAGAGAGTCTTGCTGATTATGGGTGCTGCCATTGACGCTAGTTGTGTTACTGGTTATGCCCCCCTTGAAGGCCACCCTCCCATCCCTATCTCATACCTCCCATTGTTGGAAGTTATGCATAATTCTGCAATACCCCAATATAGTGGATGAGACCAGTCATATTGAGTAAAACAAGTTAACTGTTTATTGCAGGGAAAACACATGTATTTATAACCCTACACACAACAGAGGGTCTTTAGCCAGAACAATGCAAAGCTCTACCTGGTGTCTTGGTGTCTAGGACATAATTAAGTTAAGGCAGATCATTTAATTAACCACCGGACACCAAGACGCATTGCACAATACAGGTTTACAACATACACATATTTTCCACAATAACTTCATGCTAACACAACATTTCACCACTGGCTATTAATAATTTTAAAGCTGGTAACCAAGCGCCTATACTGTTCAAAAGTCGCCGTGATCAGAGACTGTGTGTCCGAGTTAAAGCTATGTTAAAGTTTTACCGGGTCACGGCTATTCTCTGATCTGCCTCAGAGTTCTAGGCATTTCATGGGTTGCTCCCGGTCAGGTGCTCTCTGCTGTACCGAGTCTCCTGGAAGTCCATGGGGCAGCACTTTGGGCTTCCATAGCTCGTGGTGGTAAGGGCACAGCATTAAAGTGGTTTTTAGAGGTGATATAGTCGTTCAGGGAGGAGATGACTGAGAGTCCTGCGCCAGTTGTTAGAATGGCAATGTGGGAAAAATAATATAAATCAACAGGAAAAGGGATCTCTGGGACAGGGCCCATACTCTGTTGGCAGGAGGCTACCCTTCGTGCCTCTCCACGAGGCTGTGACATGGGGGGCTTCCGTGACAGAATCAGTGTGGCATATGGTTTCACAAGAATAAAACAAGGCTCTCCTGAATCCCAAAACCCTTTGCTTACCATTCAGATAATGAGAAAGGCTCATTTCGGTCTTTTCCATCAAAAGCCTTTGGCCTTTGGACAGCAATGATAAGCTAAAAGAACTGGGATGGCTTAGCCCAATGCTTGCAATCATTACTGCCCAAACCTCGAGGTATAATGACAGTAACAATTTAAAGGAACACTATAGTTACGCAGAAGACTTCCTCTCAATACATTGGTCTTGGTGAAGTGCCCTGTTCCCTTAACCCTGCAAAGTAAAAGACTGCGTTTTTTGAGAAACTGCAATGTTTACATTGCAGGGTTAGCTCCTCCTCTAGTGGCTGA